ACAGTGGAACCTCGTGTCTCGAACAATTCACTTCTCAACCTGATGGATCATCGCGTGTCTCTCAGGTGACGAAGGAGAGAAGGCGCGAATCTGAGCCAGTTACACAGTTAAAGTCGCAGGGACTGTGCTGGGAAGATTTTCCTGTGGGTTTTTTTTTTTTTTTTTGCGACTGCTTATAATTATTGTAAAATTTTCGGGTTTTTTTTTTTTTTTACTGTGCACCGCCTTTCCTTTTCTTACATTTTCCTTGACATTTCATCTCTTTGTTTTTAAAGTGTTTACTTCCAGATTAGACAGTAGGACAGACGGGCACCGTAGGGAAGAAAGGTTAAAACGGGGGATCAGGTGGGGGGTCTGGCCCTTCGATGGACATGATTTCTGATGGGGAAAAAAACGATTCGGTTTTCGAACAGCCTTCCGGGACGAATTCAGTTCGAGAAGCGAGGTCCCCCTGTATAGGAAACTCTGCTCGGAAAGCTTCTCTAAAGGACCAGGGAAAAGGGGGTTTCCTTGCCCCCCCCGCCCCCCATTCTTCCCCCCCCCCTCCCGACTTAGCGAGCCGGGCTGGGAGCCTGGCTGAATTCCTCGGGCACCACCTCCGCGCCTCAGACCTGCTTTCTACAGAAACGCGGGCCCGGCGTCTCAGACAGGATTAATCTCCTGGTTTTTATTTTGATTCCTCCACGTACCAGAACCGCTCACCCAGGGGAAGTTCTCCTCGCTCGGTTCCCAGAACCCTCCCAGGACCCCCGGACTCATTAGGAGATCAAACGGAAGCAGCAGGTTCATTAGTGGGGGGGTGGGGAGGGGTGTCTTGGAGGCCTGGCCAGGAGGAGGCGGCGGCCTCTTACAGGAGCTGGACTAGGGTGCGGGGGGGGGGGGGGGGGGCGGGGGGGGGGGATTCGTCAAATCAATTTAGTGGGTCAGAACCAGACATTTTTTTTAAAAAATGTGAAATAAATCAGACTCTAGCACAGTGGTTCTCAACCTTCCTCATGCCGAGGCCCTTTCATACGGTTCCTCATGTTGTGGGGACCCCCAACCATAACATTATTTTCGTGGCTACTTCATCACTGTCATGTTGCTACTGTTATGCATCATCATGTCAATACCTGATAGGCAGGATGTATTTTCATTGTGACAAATGGAACATCATGAAAGCATCGTGATTCATCACAAAAACAATATGTAATTATAGACGTGCTTTCCGATGGTCTTAGGCGACCCCTGTGAAAGGGTCGTTCGGCCCCCGAAGGGGTCGCGACCCACAGGTTGAGAACCGCTGCTCTAGCAGAATGTAATAGCAAGTGTCCAAGCGCATAACAGGGAGGAGAAGGTCATGTACCAGGAAACTGGCTGAGAGAGAGAGAGAGAGAGAGAGAGCCGTCCTGGTTCCCCAAGTTCTGGTGCAAAATCCTGTCCCCCCGGCAGGTCCCAGTAAAACCGCCCCCAAAGGCCCGGCCGCGGAGAAGGACCCCAGCCCCGAAGGCCCCGCTCTGCTTTCTGACAAAGTCACTTTATAAACAAAAGGAAAAGGAATTCCTCGGAGCCGGAAAGCCACCCCCTCGCTCTATATTTAACTCTAAGCTGTTCCGAATTCTCCGTTTCCTCCTCTGAAAAAAGGCCCCCGTGGAGTCCCTTCTTTCAAGGAGAGCCCACGGGACCAAGGTCAAGGTCACCTTCCTTGCCTGCCCGCCCTTACCCCCCCCCCCCCCCATAGGAGCCACCAATGGCTTGGCTTTACCTTGGCCTGTTATTTATTTATTACTCATTTATTTTAATTTTATGTCTTTATTGCTTTCAGAGAGGAAGGGAGAGGGAGAGGGGGAGAGAGAAACACCCACGATGAGAGAGAACCATGGATCGGCTGCCCCCCGCACGCCCCCCCCCCCCCCCCAAGTGAGGATGGAGCCCGCCACCCGGGCCTGTGCCCTTGACCGGAATCGAACCTGGCAGCCTTAGCGTTTCAAACCCCACGGAAGACAGGTCCAGGCACCACACAAGGGCACCGGTGATGAATGAGGCTTGACTACGTCCTTCCCAAAGGTGTTTACGTTTTAGCCAAAGATTAACCCGCGTGCCCTATAAACGCATCTCGGAGGCTCCAGCCACGGGGAGGCAGAGAACGCTGGAGAGAAAGAGCCGGCTCCCAGCTTTCCCACGGCACCCCCCCCCCCCCCGTGGCTCCGTGTGCACGCCCCTCCCCACAGCCCCGTTTTAAACAGAAAACCCAGATGCACGCTTTCTAACCCCGAGGATTTGTGAAATACAGTTTCAGCACCTGTATCTCTTTTTTTTAAAAAAATACATATATAGTTATTTATGAAACTGTCTTCTCAGACCATCCGTGAGAGGAAATACTTCGTCTTACTCAACTCCGCATTCATCTGACGCCCCTCTCCCCGCCGGGCAGCCCCTCTCCCTGCCGGGGAGCCCCTCTCCCTGCCTGGCAGCCCCTCTCCCTGCCGGGCAGCCCCTCTCCCTGCCTGGCAGCCCCTCTCCCTGCCTGGGAGCCCCTCTTCCTGCCTGGCAGCCCCTCTCCCTGCCGGGCAGCCCCTCTCCCTGCCTGGCAGCCCCTCTCCCTGCCTGGCAGCCCCACTCCCTGCCGGGCAGCCCCTCTCCCTGCCTGGCAGCCCCTCTCCCTGCCTGGGAGCCCCTCTCCCTGCCGGGCAGCCCTTCTCCATGCCTGGGAGCCCCTCTTCCTGCCGGGGAGCCCCTCTCCCTGCCTGGCAGCCCCTCTTCCTGCCTGGGAGCCCCTCTCCCCGCCTGGGAGCCCCTCTCCCTGCCTGGCAGCCCCTCTCCCTGCCTGGGAGCCCCTCTTCCTGGGGAGCCCCTCTCCCTGCCGGGCAGCCCTTCTCCCCGCCTGGGAGCCCCTCTCCCTGCCGGGCAGCCCTTCTCCATGCCTGGGAGCCCCTCTCCCTGCCGGGCAGCCCTTCTCCATGCCTGGGAGCCCCTCTCCCTGCCGGGCAGCCCTTCTCCCTGCCTGGGAGCCCCTCTCCCTGCCGGGGAGCCCCTCTCCCTGCCTGGCAGCCCCTCTCCATGCCTGGGAGCCCCTCTTCCTGCCGGGGAGCCCCTCTCCCTGCCTGGCAGCCCCTCTCCATGCCTGGGAGCCCCTCTTCCTGGGGAGCCCCTCTCCCTGCTGGGCAGCCCTTCTCCCCGCCTGGGAGCCCCTCTCCCTGCCGGGCTGTGCTCGGGAGCAGGGGTAGCGAGTGTTTGTTACATAGTCACACTCCCCAAAGCACGTGCAACATTGTTTCTCAGCGCCCAGCTGGGGACAGGGGCCTCGGGCATGGCTTTTCCTGGAGGCGAGCGTATTTCTGTGGCTCGGCTGGCGTGGCTCAGTGGCTGAGCGTCGACCGAGGCACCAGGAGGTCAGGGTTTGATCCTGGGTCCACACTCGCGATTCTACAGATGGAAAAAACCGCACCTTCCAGAGAGACGGACGCCCCCGCCCAGGCCCACGGGCATCGGGCATCGATCGGCGAAGATGCAATTCAAACCCAGGCCCATTCCCTGGCCTTTCTCTGCATCTGAAAGTGTCATTTCCCCTTTCACCGTCAGAGGCCTCGCCCGTCCTCCTAAAGGCGGAGGTGTAACCGTGAGGACACCAGGCGGGTGCCGTTGGCAAGGAAAACACCCCGTGAGGCCATGTTCCACTGATTTGTAGAGAGAGTGGAAGGGACGGGGAGAGACAGAGAGAGAGAGAGAGAGACATCTGTGTGAGAGAGACACGTCGATGGGTTGCCCCCCCCCGCCCCCCGCACGCACCCCACACCCAGGGCCAGGCATCGAGCCTGCACCGGAGGTCCCTGCCCTTGACCGGAATCGAACCCGGGACCCCTCAGTCCGTGGGCCGACGCTCTAACCACTGAGCAACACCGGCCAGGGCCAGACAACGCCTGTTTCCACGCACAAAGTCCAGAGGGGCGTGGGGCCGACGTGGAAACACTGTTTCCCACCGTGGGGTCCTCAGGGCCCCTCGTCCTTCTCCACGGACCATTTCTAACAGAAGAAACCCTTTCTCGGGAAGTCTGCTTTCTGCGGTCCCCTCGTGGGTGTGAAAATCCCCCCCCAACCCCCCCACGTCCCAGGTGACCTGCCACCCCCCCCCAGCAGGCGCGCCCCCGCCCAGGCCGGCGAAAGGAAGGCGATGTTGGTGTCACAGGCACACTCGGCCATCACAGCCAGGACCCGCTTTTGTGTTGCAAAACCCCAGAAGGAAGCCGGGTGGGGCTGGGTGGCCGTGGCCCACAGAACGCTCCCCTGTGAGCCCCGGCTTCAGCCGCAGGAAATAAAATAATTACGTCGTTACACAGAGATCCTTAGGCAAACAGGCCCCGTGTTTATAATGTAGCAATCCATTAGCCTCAGCGCAGACATAGGCTGGGAGGCCCGGGGGCCCCAGCCAAGTAGACGGGCCCTCGCGGCTGCCCCCCCCAACCCCCCTCCCCCCTGCAAACACAGCGAACCTCCCCGTGGGGTTTGCTCCAAAAGCAAAGTCCTCACCAGCCCCAAGTCCAGGTAAACAGGCCATAAATACCGACTGGGTCCTCCAGCCCCTGTGGCATCTGCATTCTTTAGGGTGTAAACAGCACGGGATGTTGGCTCCCCGCCCCCTCCCCTCCCCTCCCCCAATGTGGAGCTGGTCCTATTGTAAGAGCGCTCGACTTGGCAATTCTCTTTTGAAAAGTTGACCATGGCACCGTTTGAGTTGACCGCACGCGTCCAGCCACAAAACCTCTGAGTTAGAGAGGATCCCGAATAAAGACGAACCCCCGTTTCCTATGCGTGGCCTTAAACGCCATCCCCACCAACGAGGAGCCCCACAAAGTCACAGAAGCCCCCCGGCGGCTCCGTGCCCCGCGCAGAGCAGGCGGCGATAAGACAGAACCGGAACAGAGCAACCCCGCGTGCCAGGGCGGCAGGGCTGCGCCCATGCGGGGAGGGCCGGGGCTCCGGGAAGGAGCGGTCAGCCCGGACGGACGGACGGACGGACGTACCTTAAGCTCCCGGAAGAAGACGCTGCTCCGGGCCCACTCGACGATGGAGAAGAGCGTCTGGTCTGCCATCTTGCACATGAGCCCGAAGGTGCTCAGCTTTTCATGCTTGCCCCGGCTGGCCTGCTCCTGCTGCAGGTACGCCATGATCTTGGCCTGGACCTGCGGCTCGTCGGGCTCGCACTTGAGCAGTTCCAGGATCAGGTGCGGGACGCTGGCCGGGGAGCTGGTCTGGTAGCCGTCCATGTAGGGGTAGCCCATGAGGGACTCGGGCGAGCTGGTGTAGGGGTCGGGGTACTCAGATTTGATGGCCCGGCTGGGGAAGGGGCCGTAGGGCTGGTAGCCTGGCAGGCTGCTGCCGTGGGGCGGGGGCATGGCCATGCTGATGGGGGAGGTGACGAAGGGGCTCCGGTCGTAGTCCGTGGGCGGCAGGGCGGCGTGGCTCAGGGGGAGGCCCTTGGAGGCCGAGTGCATGTTCTGGATGGCGGAGGTGATGCTCAGCTCAGGGGGCATCGCCTGGATCACCTGGGACATGGCCTCCAGCTTCAGTCCGTTCGCGCGGATGAGGGCCTTCTTCTGCTGCTTCAGGGCGCGGTCCCGCTTGTACATGGGCCCGAATTTATTCCTCCCTCCGCGCATCCGGTCGGCCCTGACCGCTGGGGGAGAGGAAGTCGGGGTGTGAGTTAAGACGGAAGTGATCAGGCCCCCGGCATCGTCCCAACAGGTCAAGGCTGTGGGCTCGTCACCTCGCAGGCTGCTGCTGCCTTGCGGGGCACAGACAAGAATCAACCCGTGAGCCCCGGCCGGTGTGGCTCAGTGGGCAGAGCGTCGGCCTGCGGACTGAAGGGTCCCGGGTTCGATTCCGGTCAAGGGCACGTGCCCGGGTTGCAGGCTTGATCCCTGGTGTGGGGCCCGCAGGAGGCAGCCGATCCATGGTTCTCGTTCATCACTGATGCCTCTCTCTCCCCCTCTCCTCCTTCCTCTCTGAAATCAATGAAAATATATTTACAAAAGAAAAAAGAATCCACCAAACAATGCGTAAATAAGTGGAACTACAAATCAATGTCTCTCTCTCTTTCTCTCCCTCTCCCTCTCTCTCAAAACCCATAAATAAAAGAATTAAAAAAAAAATAAAGATGTAAGCTATTAGCACTCCCTAGATTGACAACTATTTAGAAATACGGGCAATGGACCAGAAGTAGTATGTGCGTTTCTGTTCTTACATTAGTCCTCAACTATTTCCCCAAAAAGCCCTGTCCTCATTATTCATGAATTGTTTCCTCCCCGTGTGTTTTTCATCAGAAAAATAAATAAATAAAAAAAATAAAAATCTCTCCCTTCGGTGGACGGGGGAGGTTTCCTAATTGTGGCCACACACACAGGACACTGTATCCCTCCAAGGAGCGTCCGTGTTTCTACTAAGAGGATCGGCGTCTCTCGTGCCGGTTACATTGTTGCTCTTTACAGAATCCCAAGCTGCCGATGGCAACAAAGTATCCGACGACCCACTTCTACATTAACCTGTGACTGTTTGCTTTTAGAGCATCGTCCTGCTCCTAAGCCACGCTGGCCCAAGTTGCTGCAAAAATGGTTGGGGACGTCCTTTCCTTAGGGAAAAAAAAAAAAAAAAAAAAATGATTTCCACCCGGACTCGATGAACGCACATCAGATCGCCACGGGCCATTGTTTCTTAGTTTTAGCAAAACTGGGCCGAATGGAAGCCGATTCGTTTCAGACGCTGTCCAGACAGCCTCCCTCCCCCCCAGTCCCGGCGCTGGGTGGAGTCTGGGGCCAGGTCGTCGTCGTCGAATAAGTGAGCCGTTCTCCCCAGGCCCCCGGCAGAAGCCAGCCACCCTGACAGCCTGGGACATGTGGCCGTGGCCGGAGGTTACGTTTTTTGAGCTTTTCATCCTAGGATTAGTCCAGCATTAAAAATGTATGGCGAACGCTGGGTGTCCGGACCACAACACGAGACAATAGAGGTTTTCATGGGGGTGAGAGTTGGCTCAATATTCAGCGGTTCCGTCGCCCTGGTAGGAAGGGACGGTGGGCGGCCGAGTGACTTACAGTGAAGAAAACAAACGCTTCCAGGGAAAGAAATGCAACCTGTTTCTTTTGTTAAGAAAAACAGCCAGCCGGCGTGGCTCAGGGGTTGAGTGCCGACCTCTGAACCAGGAGGTCACGGTTCGATTCCCGGTCGGGGCACAGGCCCAGGTTGCGGGGTCCGTCCCCAGTGGGGGGGCATGCAGGAGGCAGCCGGTGGATGCATGTTTCATTCTCACATGGATGCTTCTCTCTCTCTCTCCTTCTCCCTCTAAAAATCTATTTAAAAAAACCCATTTTCTTTTAAAAAAAAGCACAAAAACACTAGTGCTTGGCAGATGCCGGGGATACGGACGGCTCGTTGCTGCTTCACCTGAGAACGTCAGCAGGCGACCGTCTGAAGACCAGCGACAGGTCACCGCGTCCGTGAATTACACGTCATGAGTCGCGGCCTCAGGTTAACCCTGCCGCCTGCCAATGTGCGCACAGTCAGCCCGTCTCCGCTCTCTCTCGACGTAAAGTTTAACGTGGCTTTTAAGAAAGCAGGCTCCTGTCTCCTGTCTGTGAGCTCGTTCTTTTTCACGTTTCCTGCTTCTCAACTTCAAAAAAAAATTTCATCTTGCAGGCTCCTCATTCTCTTAATTTAAAAAAAATATATATTTTATTGATTTTTTACAGAGAGGAAGGGAGAGGGATAGTTAGAAACATCGATGAGAGAGAAGCATCGATCAGCTGCCTCCCTGCACACCCCCTACATGGGGATGTGCCCGCAACCAAGGTACATGCCCTTGACCGGAATCGAACCTGGGACCCTTGAGTCCGCAGGCCAAGGCTCCATCCACTGAGCCACACCGGCCAGGGCCATTCTCTTAATTTTAAAAAGTGCTTTCCCACACTATCCCAAACGACACCCTCCCGGAGAAAGCTCTTTTGACAAGTAAAGGGTTTAATCCCTGCTTGGGAATCATGTAATCAATTGTTACACTTATGACAAGCAAGACTATTAAAAAAAAAAATTCCATTCTGGCCGCCGTGGCTCAGTGGTTGAGAGCTGACCTATGAACCAGGAGGTCACGGCTGGCTTCCCGGTCAGGGCACATGCCCAGGTTGCGGGCTTGGTCCCCAGTGGGGGGCGTGCAGGACGCAGCTGATCCATGATTCTCTCTCATCATGGATGTTTCTCTCTCTCCTTCTCCCTTCCTCTCCGAAATCAATAAAAACATATTTAGAAAAAAAAATCCAATCAAACTTTGACTGGGGCATTCTGATTTGAAAACTTTAAAAAAAGGATTTTTTGTCCCACCTTATTTTTATTTGTTCTCAGTTGAATGGCTTGAGTCTCGCTTTCATCTACCCTGTTTTTATTTTGAGGGTCCAATGCAGCTACCCCCCAAACTGACAACAACAACAACAAAATGGCGAGGAGGGGCGAGGCCCACAACTCTGATATGAACATTTTTTCCCTTGGGGGACTTGACAAGGGCTGTAACGGAACACAGGCTGTCCGTAAAGCGGACGAAACGTAAAGTCGGACACCCCCGTCCGCGGCGCTAAAAGACCAGGAGAATCACGTTCCTCTGGTAGAAGCACAAGGTTGCGTTACACGCGAGGCCCCGCGGGCGTTCACGGGCAGCGGCGTGCGTGGCGAGGGGCCTTACCTTCCAGCTTCATCCCCACGCTAAGGCATTTCTGGAACCGACAGTAGGGACAGCGCTTCCTCTGGGTTTTGTCAATCTGACAGCTCTGGTTCTCGATACACGTGTACCTCTTGTTGTTCTGGACCGTCCGCTTAAAAAACCCCTGGAAGACAGAGGACACAGGGAGACACGTTATACACCCGCCGCCCACCCGTCTCTCCCGTGGCTTCTCGGGCAGGGACTCCACAGCCCATCCTCTCACTGTGCCACGAGAGCCCTTCTGAGGGGCTGTGGTTTTTCTTTGCCAGTTTCACGAGGCCCGTCCTCCCCACCAGGCCCAGGAGACCCCGCCGGCCCCACGGTCCTATTCCTGAAGCATGACAGCCAGTCTTGGGGGAGATTCGGCTCCATACACACCATTGCACCTCAACGTTTCAGAGAAAAACACCTCCTATAGAGACCTGTGCTTCTCTCCTCCCCCACACCCCACACCCCACACCCTTCAAGTCCAGAGAGAGGGTCTTCGGGCGTCTGATACAATTTCAGGGACAAACTACTGCAAAAAAAAAAAAAAAAAAAAAAAAGCCAGTGGAAAACCTGACTAGCAGAAGGTCTCAGATCTCCTGCGAATGTCAACATGAGGTCGTTAAAAGCAAAAGGATTTGAAGAGTAAAAATGGGGAAACGTTCCTAATTCCCCTGGAATGCGTTCCAGTATGAGAACTCTGTTAAAAAAAAAGAAAAGAAAAGAAAGAAAGAAAGGAAAAAAGTGAAACTAATGGGAAAGCGCACAGAGCAGAGACCCAAGGTTCCACACAAGAGTATGTGTTTCCCTGGGGTTTCACTCAAAAAGTTAATCGAACGGCCAAGTGCGGTGGCTCGATAACATAGCAACCGTGCGACCAGGTGGCTTTGGTCTCTCTGTTTATCCTCCCGGCCATAAAGTGAAACAATTTTTACTTTGTGACAGAGAAGCAAGGGTTTTTGTTTTTTTTTTTACTGGCAGGGGCTGAAGTCATTGTACCCAGCTTTCTGCTTTAAAAAAAAAAAAAAATAAAGAAAAGTTGGAAAACAGCGCCTACCATCACATTGACTGGGAACATAGAGAAAAGGTCTGCGACAAGCCCTCCCCTCTCACTGATATTAGCAACAACGTGATGCATGGGGCCTGCGCCTTCCTCCCATTTGAATGGGGCCCTATATTTATGAAAACAACTCTATCGGGAACGAGAAGACCTGGCCTGTGTTGTTCCTCGCGATATAAATTCCCAGGAATCCCCACAATTATTTCGGGAGTAAATCAGGCTGGGGATGTAGACTTTTATGTCGGTGGGTAATGAATGCCTGGCCCTGCAGGGCGGTGGGGGGGGACTCGAAAGTGGCAAGGTATTTGGGAGCCTCTTTGTCACGGCTCCTCCGGAGAACAGCGATGCCTTAAATATAGATAAGTCACGCGGAATCAATATTTGGGGGCTGTTAGAGATAGAAGGCTTCCTACCGCGACGTCATAAACTATCTGAAAGCCATGAGACTGGCAAAGTTTTCTAAACACCATCCATTTCTTTGCCCTTTGAATTAAAGGAGACACATATTTCTAAGAATCCTCTCCCTAGGACGGTCTCTCTCTCTCTCTTGTTTTTTTTTTTTTTAAATTGAGTCTTAAAATAAACATAAAAATATAAAAAAAGGCAGCCTGGCTCCAGGTCGCCTGAAGAAGTCACCCCGGGGCTGGTTTGGGCTCAGAAGGTCCCCGTTTCTCATCTCAGGTGACCGCCCCCGCGAACTCACCTTGCAGCTCTCACAGGTGAGCAGCCCGTAGTGGTAGCCGGACACTTTGTCTCCGCAGACGGGGCACAGCTCCTCCAGGTCCTCGTCGTAGGAGTAATTCACCATCTTAAACTGAGACACTGGGAAAGAAGAGGCAGAAAGAGACACACAGGCCCCCGGTGAGTTTCCCAGGCCGCCGCCTTCCATCCCCGCAGGGAAAGGCTCCGCGGGTGGGCAAAGTCCACCAGGAAAGAGAAAAAGTAAAAAATACTTGGGTTGTGCTCAGGAGTTCTTTAGAGCACTACCGCGAGAAAGCCAGGCATCTTTTTAAAAATATATGCATATATATATATTTTTTTTAAAATTTAAAAAATAGCTCCCAAGTCTTCTGTGAAACACACATGCACTGGCCCCCGGTGCACACAAGCCCGCAAAGCCACCGATCCCAGTGGGAGCGGGCGCCGCCAGCAGAAACCACGTCGGATTTCTTTGAAACTCCTTTCAAAGTCCCAAACAGGCCACCTTTGCCCGGGGGCCAGAGGCAAGCACACCCCACACACCCCCGCCTCTCGCTCTTGGAGGAAGTTTGCAGCCAGCACCTCGCGGGGTGGGGCGGCCACCGGGACCAGGCCCTTGGCCCAGACACTCCAGCCCCATCCCCGGGCTCCCCAGGGCTCCCCAAGGCTCCCCAGGCTCCAGGCTGGGCGAGGAAGCGAAAGAGATCTCTCTGTCTCTCTCGATCCGGATACTTGGTTTCATCTCCGCACTTTTGCAAACCCGCCCGCCTGTGAAAGTGAAAAAGGAAAAAAAAAAAAGGGAAGACGCCCGGGAGGAAACAATGTCACAAAAGAGGAAAAGAGACCCAGGACACGTTGGCGGCGTCGCCAAGTCCTGTAAGAACTTCGCAGGTTTTCCCATCATCGCCCCGAGATCGCCCCGGTTGAAGTTCAACCCCAATCGGGCCGCCCGGCGGAGATGGGGGCCCGCCTTCCCGGGACGCGGCCCCCGCCGAGCGAGCGAGCGTCCCGCGTGGAGCGAGGTCCGTGTGCGGAAGGGCAATGGCCCGAGGGGTCCCAGATGGTACCTGGTCCGGTCCCTTCCCGGGACTCCACGTCCACGCGGCCGGGGGACACGGACGGGTCGCGCAGCCCGGCCACTGCGCGCGCGCTCGGGCAGCGGCCTGTGAACCCCCGGGGCGCACTCGCCTTTCCTTTCGCCGGTTGCTCAACCTCCGCCGCCACCGGCACGCAAACACCCGCTCCGTTTGTTTTAAGTTAATCAGTGGCGTTTGCGGGGGGCGGGGAGGAGGGGGGATGGGGAGCCGGGGAGCGAGCAGAAGTTCCCTGATTTGTTTACCAAAAAGGAAGGAGGAGTAGGCGCCCCGCGTCCCAGAGAACTGGCCGCTCTGTCACCAGTGGCTTCCCGGCCGGGGACTTGCTCTTGGTGTGTGTTTTTTTCTCTCTCCCTTTTAAGTAAAGTTCTTTTCAAAATTCCTGTAAGGAGTCTGCGGGCTCAGGAAAGGGCCTCGGGGAGGGGGTGTCCCTGCGGCGCTGGTGGCGGGGCGCCCGGCACTGGGGCCAAACCCCGAGGCAGGCAGAGTTTGGGAGCGGATTGGGGGGAAGGGGTTCCCTCAGGGCCCCGCCTCGGTTTTGAGGGCCTGGGGGTTTGGGGAGGCTGGAGGCCTGTGGCCCCGTCTCTCCTGCAGCTCGTGCCCAGCTCGAGGCGTGTTTTGGGGACGGGAGGAGACGGTGCTGTCCCCAGTCTGTCCTTTCTAGCTCCCCAACCGCCAACAAAGTGAACTCCGACTTCGCGCCTCCGGGGTGCAGGGAGGCCGCGGGGTCCCGGGGACCCGGGGATCCTGCACCGAGGAGGCCGGGGCGGGGGCGGGGACCTCCTTAGGAAACGCAAACGTGGAGGCCGCACGGATGGAGCCGCCGCTGTGCCCGCGACGCGGGGCCGCCCGTGGGCGTCTCGGGTGCGGCCCCCGCCGGTTACTCGGGGAAGGGAGTCCGTCGGGGCCCCGGAGTCCCCATCGTGAACGAGCGGAGGCCACGGCGGGGCCTCGGACGCCCGTGGAGAAGGTCCCCGAGTTGAGCGCGAGCGCGGCGCTGGCTGGGGACCCGGCAGCCGGCTCTCCCCGCGGGTCGGGCTGTGGCGCATTCCCGGCCGAGACCAGAGATCGAACGTGGGGCTGGGGCTCCCCGTCCCCAAAGCTTCTCTCGGACGGAGCGGCGCGTCCCCGGCTGCTTCGGAGGAGCCCGGGGCTGAGCGCGCGCCCGGCGGCGCTTCCGGAGTCCCGGGCGCCGGGCAGCGAACTTTCTACCGAGGGCGCCCCTCTCGTTTCCCTCCGGTCTCTCCGCAGCCCCTTCCCCGCCTCCCGGGCCGCGGGCTCCGGCGTCTCCGCGGGTCCCCCGGGGACGCACCAGGCCGGGACCCGGAGCAGGAACTTCCCTTTGGGCCCCGAGAATGGCGCGGGCCCCGCGGGCGCCCAGAGGGTCCCCAGGTCGCCTTCGCCGCGCCCCTACTTCCCCACCCAGCGGGGACCCCAGAAACCAGCAGGAGAGGCCTCTTTGGGCCAAACGCGTCCCCCTGCAGCCCACCCATCAGCCGGTCTCAGAGTCCTCGCCCCGGGGAGCCCGCAGCGCTCCCTGGAGGGTCGGAGACACCCGGGTCGCGGGGCGTCCTCATCCCCAGGCCCGCCGCCCGCCTCGCCGCCACCCCGTCCCCCCCGCGCGGCCGGGCACCGTCAGGCCCCGAGGCCGAGCGCAGCGCCAACCCGCGCTGAACTCCGCTCCGGGTCCCGCCCGGCCCTTCCCGCCCGCTCAGCCCGGGCGGCAGGAAGCGCGCTGGGTCGCCGGCCCGCACATCCGCGCGCGGGAAGGGGCGAGGATGGAGGGGCGCCGCGGCTCTTCCTCGCATTGTTCCCTCCGCGCCCGGGGCCGCGGCAACTTCTCCCGGGCTCTGCGCGCCGGAGCGGCCTGGCGACTTGGGAGTCGGCCCGCGGGAGGCACTGTTTCTGTTGGCGCCCGGAGCCGGGGAGCCCCCGCAGGACCCCCTGTGCCCCGCTCCGGGCTGCGGCGAGGGGCGAAGCTATGCGGTCTCCCTCCCCCCGACCCCAATCCCAACCCCCCCCCCCACCAGCCCCCGTCCCGGGGCAGGACCCGCGCAGAGCATGGGGCTGCGGCTGCGTTGGCTCCCGCAGCTCTGCCCGCTCTTCTCCACGTGCCCAGTTCCCGGGGCGCGCACCTGGGCCTGGGGGCGCCCATCTGCATTCTACCCCCTAAGACAAGCCTCGCGGGGTCCCCTGCTCCTTCCGCGGGGCCTTTCCTGCGCACAGTGTTCTCCACCTGAGCGCGCGGGTTCCTCCCCACGGTCCCGGGGACTGGGAACCGGCTCGGCTTCCGATGGGACCCTCCTCCCCCCGCCGCCGCCGTCAGCCCGCAGCCGCCGCTCGTTGGCCGGAGAGCGCGAAGCTTCTCTCTTCTCCAGGAGAACCGAGCGGCCCGGGGGGCACAGCTTGGCCAGCGGCCGCCTCGCCTGGGTCCAGAGCCATAAACTTTGGCGGCTGGGGAGGCGGCCTGACGCCCGCGCGCGCCCGGGACCGGTCACCCCAGGCGCGGGGAGCCGGGGCGCCGTGGCCGCAGGAGCCCGCTTACCTTGCATGGCGTCCGGCATCTGCCCCTGGTCCCCATGCGACCGCGCCAGTCCCAGCGCCTCCGTCTCCACTTTGGGCAGCATGACCGGGCGGCCGCGCGCGGGGCTCGGCGCTGGGCGAGGGTCTGGCAGCCCCGCACCCGGGCGCCGCCGCGCAGGGCCGGGGCCGGCGGGCAGCGGGCGGGGGCGTCCGGAGGGGTCCGCTCGCCTCCGCCGCCTCCGGGGCTGCGAGTCCGGACCCCGGCGCCCCGGCTCCCCGCCGCCCGCAGCCGCCCCCGAGCCGCGAGGAGGAGGCAGAGGCGGGAGAGGCGGGGAGACGGCGGCCGGGCGCGCGCGGGCTCGGCTCCGCGAGGGCGGAGGCGGCGGCGGCGGCGAGGGCGCAGCGACCGGGGCGCGGATCCCGACCAGCCGAGCTCGGGGCGCCGGCGGCCGGGCACAGGAGCCTCCGCGGCGGCGGGGCGGCGGTCGCAGCGGCGGGACGGCTGGGCGACTCCCGCCTCCGTGCGCCGCGGGCTCCGGCTCGGCGGGGACTCCGGCGCTCGCCTCTCCGCTCCCCTCCGCCCCTCTCCGCCCTGCCCCTCCGGCTCCCGGGCGCGAGCGGTCACAAGTGAGGAGCGTGAAGTTGCAGCCCCGCTCGCCCGCCTCCTGCCCGCCTCCGGCGGGTCCCGGGGCCGCCCCGAGGCGGACGGTGCCGCAGGGGAGAGGGACCAGCGGACACGCGAGGTGAGTGGGGCCAGGGCCGGGCCGGCTGGGCTGAGGGCTGATGACAGCGACCAGGGACGCGGGTTCCGGACTCCGATCGGACCCCAGGCGCCAGCCAATGAGGAGGCGGCGCACACGCCCCGGTCCCCGCGCCCGCCCCCACCTCTGCCCCCCGCGCCTCGCCCCCTCCCGTCCCCCCGCGCCCTGGCCTGGGGCGGGGGACGCGGAGGCTTCCGGGTCTTACGCGGGCGAGCGGCGACCTCTGCCTGAGCGCGGCGGCGGCTGGAGCTGGGGCGGCGGCGTCCGCGAGCCCAGGGCAGGCGGCCGGGGAGAGGGGGTGGGAGGGGTGGGTGGGGGGGTGGCGGGTGCGCCCAGGCGTGTGCAGCCGGCGAGGGGCTGAGCCGGGCGGAGCCTACACGCCCATTGCCAGCACCTGGTGGAAGGGGTGGAAGTCAGTTACCCGCCCTTTTGGAAGCGGGGTCTGGCGGCTCCGCTCCCCGAGCCCCAGGCGCGCCCAGGCCCGGGGACGGCCTCCTCGCCGAGAGTTCACTCACTTGCGGGGAATTGGAGGAGCAGCTGCGCGCCTCTCCTCTCCTTCCAGTCCCTCCGTCGCTTAAAGACGCCCCTCTCCCCTCCCCAACCCCAGACGATCGTGGCGACGGGCGTCCTAAGTTTCGGGGAACTGGGTGCGTTCCAGGCGGAGCGCACTCCTCGGTCTGGACTTGACTTTTTCTTTAATTTTCTGAAAGTATTTTTTTTAAAAATTGATTTCAGAGAGGAAGGGAGAGAGAGAGATGGAAGCATCCATGATGAGAGAGGATTGTGGATCGGCTGCCTCCTGCGCGCCCCACGCTGGGGATGGAGCCTGCAACCCGGGCCTGTGCCCTGACCGGGAATCGAACCCTGACCTCTTGGTTCATGGGTGGACGCTGGACACTCAACCCCTGAGCCTCGCGGGCCAGGAGGGACTTTCCTTGTTCGTTCTGGTGTCTCTGGTGGGACCAGCGCACTAGGCCAGGAGGCCCCCCACTTGCTACAAAGTTGCAAAGACCCACCCCCCTAGGCCGTCTCCCTGGCCACGGGCCCAGCCGCTCCTTACAAGTTATCAAATCTCACCCCAAGGAGATGAAAGGCATTTTCCTCCTGTTTCCGACTCCGGGTGAGATGCCTCAATGGTGTCTGCACGGAGGCGAGGCCAGGTCGTCACCAGAGTCCAGGCAACAGGGGGCGGATTTGAGTTTCAAAAGACCTGAATGGATTCTAAACGAATGGCCATAGAGACCACCCATTCAAAGGGCTCCCCACCTGCCTGGGGGGGGGGGGGGCAGAAGGGGAGCTGAGGTCTACGCCACTCACTGCTCTGCACCATCTACTTTGATAGGAACAGGGTGCTCACCCCTACCCCACCCGGCCACCCAGATGCGTGGCTCTCTGCACTGACTTGTCCCTAAGCCATTGAAGTCTCAGGTTTCATAGAAACATGTAATCTGGGTGGTGGTGGAGGGGGGGGTGGTGGAGGGGGCCTGGCCACTAGTTTGCAAGGGGAATGGGCTGGAGTTGCCAAAATTCGGGACCATGAAGACGCTCAGATGTTCCTGGTGGTCTCAGGCGACCCTAGCAGCCCACTGTCAGCAGCAGTAGTGAGTGAAGAACGTGCCTAACCCCGCCAGGTGTGGCTCAGGGGTTGAACTTTGACCTAGGAACCTGAAGGTCACAGGGTGGTGGGCCGGGTCCCCAGTAGGGGGCGTGCAGGAGGAGGCAGCCGATCAAGGATTCTTTCTCATCGGGGTTGTTTCTCTCTCTCCCTCCCTCTCCCTTCCTCTCCGAAATCAATAGAAATATGTTAAAAAGACAAAGACTCCGGGGCAAGAAGGCGCAGGAGGGGCGCGGGGAGAAACTTGCTGTTCTGAGAACCACAGACTCCATCCCCTGCAGCCCCCCTCCCCCCAGGACCCCCAAATGGTGCGTCTCCCACTGGGTTGCTTCGCAGAGAAGAGGCGAGGGCGCACTCACCTTCTCCCAGTCCCGGGGCGCAAGCGGAGGAGGGCGCCCCCAGGAGTCCCTCTGCCCACCCCCCGTCCTGACTGCTCACGCCTGTCCCTCGACCCTGCAAAGCCGCTGCCTCCCCACCCTGCCTCCCCCGCCCCCGCCCCCGCCTGGCCTGGGAGGCGTCCGGCGTCTCCAGGACCCCCTCTCCAGGACAGCCGGTCACCTGCGGGGGCGGGGGTCCCCGGGGCGAAGGCCACAGTGGAACGGGGAGGCCGCCGAACCGAGAACCGGGCCCGTGCGGTCTGCGTGCCGAGGCTGGCGCGTTTGGGACTGACCCGCAGACGCACCGACTCCTTTGGAAAGACCAATGCCGGGGCGGGCAGAACCCCACCCCCCGCCGGGCCCCCGCCCACCGGCTCCGGGAACTGTCACCGCTTCTGCGTCTCCTCCCTGCGCTACCCCGGGCCTGGGGCGAACTCCCCTCCCTGCCCTCCCTGCCTCCCCATCCCCGCGCCCCCCGCATCTTTCCCGACGTGACGGGCCTCCGGGGCGCATCCTTGCGGGTCCCGCTGCCTGCGAGCGCTGATTGACGGTTGCAATTACAAAGGCTGATGGCTCGGGGAGGCCCCGCAGCCTTGAGGAGCGGGGAGGCGCGGTCCTGGCAGGCTTCCTCCCGCGCAGCTCAGCGCTGCGGGCCGCGTGCCCCGTGCACCCGCGCGCGCGGGCTGCAGCCCAGGGGTCAGGCACCCTCCTCACCTCCGCCGGGACCACCCCTGGCCTCCTCCCGCCCGCAGCGCCCCAAGCAACCTGCCCTTGACCCCAGCTCCACGCGGCCGGCTGCACAGGGACCCCACGCCAGGGCCCTCGGACTTAGTTCACGGTTCCTGGGTCTGACCAGCGCAGGTCCCGGAGGCCGGAGTGGGGGACGCACTGCCCGCCTCCCGCGCGCCTGGGGGCTCGGGGGTGGGGAGCCTGGCAAGGTCCCCCCTCCCCCCTCCACACTCGCAAATCTGCATCCTTGGAAACCATGTCTCAGGCCTCCTGCAGCCTGCGTTTTGGTGTTTTGAAGAAACCAGAAGAAGGAATTCCTTTCCTCCCGGCGCGGGCCTACTTCTCAGCCCCAGAGGGAACTTTCTTCTTCAGAAAAAATCTCTAGAAAGAGGCTCCAGAAGAGGTCGCCTACCAGCCCCATGGCCACGGGCCACCGTGACCCCGCCCCGTCCACTGGAAAAGCCCAGCAGAGGCGCTGGGCCTCGCTTGGAAAGTGAAGTTCAGCCCGAACCCGAGCCCGCCCCCCGCCCCCAGCCGCGCGCCCAGGCTCCGCGCCCCGAATCCTGAATCCCGGGCACTGGGTTTTAAGTAAAGACTTGGAAACATTGTATCAGCTGAGGCTTTGAAGGGATGAAGGTGGGTGGTGAGAACGGCCTTGTTTAGAAACAATGTATCTCTTTCTGCTCTTAGGGCACCAGGGGCTGTGGTGGTACCTGGGGGAGGGGGGGCTGGGGTGGGGCGGAACGCGAGGTGACCCCACCACCCAGGCTCCAGGAACCCCTCCCCCAGGCCACCTCCCACTCCTGCCCGGAGGGAAGGGTGAGGTTTGGGAGTTTGGCCCAAGCTGCGGCCTTCTGCAGCTCTCTTTCTCTCTCTCTTTCAAGGTTCACTGTCGCCCTGGCCGGTTTAGCTCAGTGGATAGAGTGTCGGCCTGCAGACTGCAGACTGAAGGGTCCCGGGTTCTAGTCAGGTCAGGGTCACAAGCCGGGCTTGCTGGCTCACTCCCCAGTGAGGGGCCTGCAGGAGGCAGCTGATCCTTGATTTTCCCTCATTGATGTTTCTCTCTCTCGCCCTCTCCCTCCTCCTCTCTGAAATCAATGAAAACATATAAAGGATAACTTCATCCAGACTCCATCCCCCCGGCCCCACCCTGGAGCCCGCCTGAGGTCTACCCAGATCTAAGTCTCACTTCCCATCGTCCCTAATCCCCAAATGCCGTTCTGAAGAAAGGCTGAAGCCACCCACTGGTTTACAGCCTCACTCCTTCATATCAGCCAGGGCGAGGAGTCCCTCCCTCCCTCCCCCCGGGATCCAGCGTGGGTTTCTGGGTTCGGAACCACGGTCCTGGCTTCGGTGTCCAGTTCACTCCCCCGACAAGCTGAGGGGCCGCGGGTAAGCCGCTGGGCCTCGCGGGCGCTATTTTCACCAGCAAAAGGGGGTTGACAAGTCAACTGTAGCGATGGGCCAGACGGAGCCAGGAAGGCAGCTCTGGGTACAGGCCAGCTCTCCTTTGCTTCTCTCCACCTCCCCCCTCATTGTCCCCCAAACTCATCTCTCTGTAAGGAAATCAGTCACCAAAGATGCCAAGGTCCCTGCTGAGGTGAGTGTTCCCACGCAGTCCTCACGGACCAATGGCGTCACCCGTAGCTGGGACTGTGGACCAATGACGTCAGCCGCAGCTGGAACTGTGGACCAATTACGTCAGCCGCAGCTGGAACTGTGGACCAATGACGTCAGCCGCAGCTGGAACTGTGGACCAATGACGTCAGCCGCAGCTGAAACTGTGGACCAATGACGTCAGCCGCAGCTGAAACTGTGGACCAATGACATCAGCCGCAGCTGAAACTGTGGACCAATGACATCAGCCGCAGCGGAAACTGTGGACCAATGACGTCAGCCGCAGCGGAAACTGGACCAATGACGTCACCCGCAGCTGAAAAGGTGGACCAATGACATCAGACGCAGCTGAAACTGCTCCTCAAACTGCTCTGTATCCAGATTATTTAAAGATGAAAAGTTCAGTGTTTCTTCTTATCAATCACACAAAAACACACCTAACAGCTTCCCGAAAGTCTAAGAAAGACGCAGCCTCCAGGAATGTGTCCGGTGACCTTCACCTTCATTCAGTGCGAAGGCCCTCCCAGGCTTACTCACGCTCCCCCAGCGCATTTCACCTCCTGGGAGGGGGGGCTCCCCAACCACAGTGCCCGCCCCCCAAACTCCTGAAGCTCCCTGAAGCTAACTGGATTTGTCGGAGAGGTTTTCTGTTGTCGT